AACCATTTTTGTATCCAACACAGCAATCTTACTAACATTCCTTTGTTAAATTGCCTAGAAACACCCATGCTTCTCAAATGCACTTTGAACTGATTTTGATATCTTATAGATTCTTTCATTAATTAATAAGTTGTATAAAATCTTTGACATGTATTCATTTTATATTTGCATGAGTTATGATTCTAGCTTTTTGAAAATTATATTTTAATATTACTTTTACAGAACTAAAATGCTGCCACTCAAAACGATACCTGAGCACTTACTCATTGATTAGTCCAACCTTGTGACAACATGAATTTCTCTGTTGCCAGCGCACTAATGCAGCTGGCAACTGGCTAAACTTCAGGCAGCAGAGAATGTTTAGTGCTTGCTGCTTTTTGAAAAATTTAAAATAAAGGGCTTCATAATATGCCACCCCAAAATATGTTGTTTTGGCATATTCATTTGAGCTGAAGGCACTGGAGAAACAGCTGATGCAGGAAAAGCTCTCTGATTCTCCCTTTCTACCTGAAAGCAGGTCATACAATTTTCCATGAGAAACGTGCCCTCTGTGTACAAGGAAGAGAAAATTCTTATCACCACAGAAAGGGAATTGACACTGAAATAGACCTATGCAAACAGTCTTACTAAAACAACCTTTAACTTCCACGGGTTCCCCCTTTATATTTCCTAGTCACTGTCCCACAATTTACTGCCATTACACGAAAAGCCCCTTTGTCTTGTCACACCCCCATAATTTATAATTCTTTGTGTAAAAAGGTATACAGTAGTTCCTTGGTATGTACAGGGTATTGGTTCTAGTTGCCACCCCCTGCATATGCAAAAATCTGAGGATGTTCAAGTCTCTTTTATAAAACGGCATAGTATTTGCATACAAGCTATGCACGTCTTCCTGTATACTTTTTTTTAATTTTTTTGAGAGAGGGTCTTGCTGTCACTCAGGCTGGAATGCAGTGGTGTGATCTTGGCTCACTGCAACTTCTGTCTCCTGGGTTCCAGCGGTTCTTGTGCCTCAGCCTGTAACTGGGATTGCAGGCATGCACTACCACACCTAGCTAATTTTTCTATTTTTAGTAGATGTGGGGTTTCACCAGTTGGACAGGCTAGTCTTGAACTCCTGGCCTTAAGCAATCCGCCTGCCTTGGCCTCCCAAAGCGCTGGGATTATAGGCATGAGTCACTGCACCTGGCCCTCCTGTATACTTCAAATCATCTCTAGATCACTTATACCTAATATAATGTAAATGCTGTGTAAGTTGTTGTTATACTGAATTGGTGTTTTATAAATTTGTATATTTGCAGTTTTTCCTTCTTTTTTTTTTTTTTGAGATGGAGTTTCACTTTTGTTGCCCAGGCTGGAGTGCAATGGCGCGATCTCGGCTCACTGCAACCTCCGCCTCCCAGGTTCAAGCGATTCTCCTGCCTCAGCCTCCTGAGTAGCTGGGACTACAGGCATGCGCCCCTACGCCTGGCTGCTAATTTTGTATTTTTAGTACAGATGGGGTTTCTCCATGTTGGTCAGGCTGGTCTCGAACTCCTTACCTCAGGTGATCCGCCTGCCTTGGCCTCCCAAAGTGCTTGGATTACAGGCGTGAGCCACTGCGCCCGGCCTATTTTTTATTCATTTCTAAATATTTTTCATCTGAGGTTTGCTTAATCTATGGATGTGGAACCTGCAGATATGGAGGGCCGATTGCCTCTTTGGGTCTTTTCATTTTTTTTCTTGAGGCAGAGTCTCTCTCTGTCACCCAGGCTGGAATGCACTGGCGCTGTTAACGGTGGAAGGTATGCTGACAATTCTGAAGGCATTTCTATTTTTATTCCGCCAATAATTTCAAAGCTAGCTTACTAAGTTACACTTTAAGTCACGTGAACTTGAAAATTGCTTAGACTTACTTACTTAATTTATGAGCACACTTTTACTTACAAGCCAATTTGGTAGACACAACATAAAACAGTAAGTGTACATACAAATAAACACATCTAGACATGTATACACACACATCAACAAAGATCCAATACTTTGGAACCTCAGCCATGAGATAGCAATACAAGCTTGTGGTTTTACTTCAACCTAATAGAAAATACAAGGAAGGCTCTGAACCAAAATTTCAGGTAAAGCAGTCTCCATGGCAGTTTGATATTGAAAGGCTAAGCCTCCCAGCCTCCCTAGACTTCCAGGAGCACTGGGGCCAAACAGTACCAAAGGAGGGCGTCACATGTTAACCAGGCCCCCTGCTTAGAACAGCAGCACAAAAGCCTGGATACATGCAATGCCATCACACTTTCCTATTAGACAGTGAATTTCAGATTCTAAACAATTTTGGGGCCAAGCAGCATTGCAACTGTGAGATAATTTTTTTTTTTTTTTTTGAGACGGAGTTTGGCTCTTTCGCCCAGGCTGGAGTATAGCGGCATGATCTCAGCTCACTGCAACCTCTGCCTCCCAGGTTCGCGCGATTCTCTTGCCTCAGTCTCCTGAGTAGCTGGGACTACAGGCATGCGCCCCTACGCCTGGCTGATTTTTTTGTATTTTTAGTAGAGATGGGGTTTCACCATGTTGGTCAGTCTGATCTCAAACACCTGACATCAAATGATCCGCCTGCCTTGGCCTCCCAAAGTGCTGGGATTACAGGCGTGAGCCACCGTGCTCGGTCTCCAAGAGAAAATTCTAAGGAGGGTTTAATACTAGACCTTAGAACCTCTGCCAAGAGCGTCCTCTTTGGAGAGTTTGAGGTCCGCAGAACCCACAGAGCATCCTCCTGTAGGGTCCAATCTTAGAGTTCCAGACGTCTCTGGCCTTAGGTGGGTGCATCAAATGCAGGTTTCCCCTCCAAAGCATACTATGAGATTTATAAGAATAGCCAAGAACTGTAATGAGAACTGGATGCCGGGTGAGCCTTTTGTTCCTTAGCCAGTAGAGTACGACATGGGAAGAATTTAGCATAGGAAAAGAAGGTTTACGTTGCCTGAAATATGTGCAAGTTTGCTCTGAACTGCGCAGCAGGTAGAGATCATGGGCCATGCGTGGAAAATATTAAAAAAAAAAAGTCTTCCCGCTTTGGGGCGGGGCAATTCTTCCCATTCCCTCCTCGGCCTTCAGGCAGTACCAGGGAGTGACCCCAGCCAATTGCCCTCAATTTCAAGGAGCTACTAAGAAACAGCCACTGTAAGACTGAAAAAGAAAGAGAAGAAAAAAACATAAATAAATAAAGACCCAGATTCCGTAAGTGATCTGGGCAATGGTGGTTAGGCTTCTCCACTAGGAAACCCCTTAGTTTCACTGGCCACGGCCAGAAACCTGCAGTTGCTTCCAGGTTTAGGCACTGCCCACCAAGGGTCCCAAGTTGGAAAGTCCCAAATCTGCTCCATGGATGGAGCAGGAAGGAAAGGGAGAAAAATGAATCCCAAACTTTGGGCTTACCTCTCCCTCCTGGCTGGTTTGCCAAAACATGTCAACGGTGGAGGATATCCAAGTTCTTCGCGTCTTGAACAAAGAATTGGACAACATGCACAAACAAACCAAGGAAGGAATGAAGGGTTTTATTGAAAATGAAAGTACACTCCACAGTGTGGGAAAGGGCCTGAGCAGAGGGAGTCAGGCACTGTTACAGAGCTTTTGTGAGTTTAAATACCCTCTACTTGGGGTATGCCCTATGTAAATGAAGAGGATAAAGTAAATGAAGAGGACAAAGTCATTTATGGCATATGCCCTATGGAGAGGATATTTCCTGTTATAGCTTAAGTGTGAATTAGCCTTATGCCCCCTGCCTCCAGACGCTATTTTCCTGCCTCTGCGCAATCTCAGCTCACTGTAACCTCCATTGCCCAGGTTCAGGTGATTCTCCTGCCTCAGCCTCCTGACTAACCTGGATCACAGGCGTGAACAACCACGCCCAGCTAATTTTTGTATTTTTAGTAGAGACAGGGTTTCACCATGTTGCCCAGGCTGGTCTCGAACTCCTGACCTCAGGTGATCCACCCGCCTCGGCTTCCCAATGTGCTGGGATTACAGACATGACCCACTGCGCCCAGCCTTAATCTATATTATCGTGATTCTGGTTCATTGCAACCTCTGCTGCCTCTCGGGTTCTCTGCCTCCCGAGTAGCTGGGATTAGCTAATTTGTCAGTTTAATTCTTAAACCAGCTGCAGAACCTAAGAGAGTAGAAGGAAGTTTTCCTTTCCTGTACTAGGTGTATGTTAATTTTCTGTTGTCACTGGTAGTGATTTGAGACACAACAATAAGCCACAAATTTAGTGGTTTAAAACAACACAAATGTATTATCTTACAGTTCTGTAGGTCAGAAGTCTGACATGTGGCGGCGGCTAATTCCTCCCAAATCCCAACACTTTGGGAGGTGGAGGCAGGCGGATCACCTGAGGTTAGGATTTTGAAACCAGTCTGATCAACATGGAGAAACCCAGTTTCTACTAAAAATACAAAATAAGCTGGGCCTGGTGGCGCATACCTGTAATGCCAGCTACTCGGGAGACTGAGGCAGGAGAATCGCTTGAACCCAGGAGGCGGAGGTTGCAGTGAGCTGAGATCATGCCATTGCACTCCAGCCTGGACAACAAGAGGGAAACTCTGTCTCAAAAAAAAAAAAAAAGAAAAGAAAAAAAGAAAAAGAAAAAAGGCCAGGCGCGGTGGCTCAGGCCTGTAATCATAGCACTTTGGGAGGCTGAGGCAGGCAGATTGTCTGAGCTCTGGAGGCTGAGGCAGGAGAATCTCTTGAACCCGGGAAGTGGAGATTGCAGTGAGCCGAGATCGTGCCACTGCACTCCAGCCTGGGCTACAGAGTGAGACACTGTTTCAAAAAAAAAACAAAAAACACCTCTACTGAAAATACAAAACTAGGCTGGGTGGGGCATGGTGGCAGGCGCCTGTAATCCCAGCTACTTGGGAAAGTGAGGCATGAGAATTGCTTGAATCTGGGAGGTCAAGGCTGCAGTGAGCTGAGGTCACACCACGGCACTCCAGCCTGGGTGACAGAGTGAGACTCAAAAAGAGTCTCAAAAAGAACATAGTAAAAATTAAAATAAATAAATAAGAGAAAAAAGAACGAAGTCTGACATGCCTCTCACTGGGTGAAAATCAAGGTGTCAGCAGGGCTGTCTGTGTTCTTTTCTGGAAGCTCTGGGGAGGATCCATTTCTTTGCTTTTTCTGGCTTCTGAAGGCTTCCCACATTACGTGGCTTGTGGCCCCCTTCCAGTGTCAAAGACAGAAATGACAGGTTAAATACTTCTCATATCACATCACTCAACCTGTCTTTCCTGCCTCCCTTGTCCACTTTTAAGGACACTTGTGATTACACTGGGTTTGCCAAGGTAATCCATGATAATCTCCTTATTTTAAGGGCAACTGATTAACAACCTTAATTCCAATTGCAACTTTAATTTTTTTTGCCATGGAGCATAACATATTCAGAGATTTCACAGATGGGGACATCCTTGGTGGGGGGGCATTGTTCTGCTTACCACAGTTTATCAGTAGATGAGAGAGAAAACAGAGAATTTAGGGAAATCATATATACATCTCTATTTTCTGCTGAGACATCTCCACAGTGTCTTTACAGACTGATAACTAGAGCTATTTCTCTAGTTAACAAAGGCAGACTGGGCCTTCCATTTCAGGTATTTACCACAGCAAATGCCAAGCTTCTTTGTGCAAACGTTTTATGTGTGTGCTAAGCATTTTAAATAGACCTTTTGCATCACTCTATTTTCACACTGTGAAAGATGTAATGTAGTTATGAGCTTTGAAGATGGACAGACCTGAATTTAAATTCCGACTCCATTACTTATTACCCCTATGAACCTTGAGCAATTTACCTAATCTTCCAGAGCTTTAATTTCCTCATCTGTAAATTAAGGATTAAAAACAGCTAGCAGAAAAGGTTATTGAGTGAGTTGAATACAATAATGCATATGAGGCCATGAGCAGACGCTATAACTATATTTTGAATTGTTTTTCCCTTGAGATGTTTTCCCAGGTACCTGGCTCTCTGGGCCTAGGACACATAGTCCCAGAGGGTATAAATCTAGTACTTGGTTCCAACATGGTTTTGCTCCCTAAATACTCAAATAGTAGACAAGAAGATATACCTGAAGCCTGAAGGAGGCAAATGTAGTTTACAAGGAAGGGAATACTCTTTGTCATATAAAATAACAGTAAGTTCACTAAACTAATTAATGCATAAACTCAACTAAAATTGTGAGTTAATAAGGTTGTGATGTAAACTGAATAAAACATAAAGAGTGGTTTGTTCTATTTGGTGATCACAAAAATATATTAGTAAGGAAAATTAATAATAGCTTGTGCTATGTGTCAGGTCCCAATGTGAAGTGCTTTACAAACATCTCATTTATTTCCACCAACTACCAGGTGTTATCCCTGTTTTACTGAAAGCAAACCAAAGTTAAGGAAAGGTGCATAACTTGCCATCATTATAACTGTCTAAACTGATGAAGAGTATGTTATCGTCAAGTCTTACGTTCTTAAGGATGTGGGGGTACATCTATATCTTCTGTGGGCAATGATGGATGGAATATTGGGCTGAACCAATTAGTATGTTAATTTTAAACTTCTCCTTGAAGAAAGGATCTATGGTAGGTATTAGTAGCGAGAGATGAGAAGTATCCTTTTTTTTTTTTTTTTTTTTGTCTCGCTCCGCTGTCCACCCAGGCTGGAGTACCAGTGGCCGGATCTCAGCTCACTTGCCAAGCTCTGTTCTCCCAGGTTTATGCCATTCTCTTGCCTCAGCCTCTCCGATGTAGCTTGGACTACAGGCGCACCGCCACCTCGTCGCCGGCTAGTTTTTTTGTAATTTTTATGTTAGGACGGGGTTTTTCACCGTGTTAGCCAGGTGATCCGCCCGTCTCGGCCTCCCAAAGTGCTGGGATTACAGGCTTGAGCCACCGCGCCCGGCCGAGAGGTATCCTTATATCTTTTAATTTCATATTCTTTTCCTATGACCGAAGGGCAAGAATCTAGGACATTAATTCAGTTAACTAATATTTATTGGACATTTTCTATTTTCCAGGGATTACGACATATCCCTCTTCTACATTTATCATTTAGACTTCAATTTTCTTCACTGAAAATTGAGGGGCTTAGTTTTAAAGTTCTTTTTTTTCCCCCTTTAAATATCTAAGAGCCTATAAATCCACTCAATCTTCATTTTCTCCCAACTAGACCTAAAGTGGCATGCAGAATTACAGTGAGATACAGGTGGGCTGTATATGGTAGTTCACAGCCACAATTGGTGGTGGGGAGAGTAAAGGTTATGATTTCCTTTTTTCTCTACTTCTTCCTATCCATATTTGCATAAAAACATGGTCACACATTCTTACTTGATTACTTGTAGAAAGACACATTCCAATGATACTAACACCTTTGGGGTAAAGGACATCTCTTCCTTCACAATTTATTGCAGAATGCTGAGTTTACAGGAGAAGCTTGAGGAATGCTTAAGCAATGTTCAGTTGATATGAAAAGTTTTATTAGCTTACCTTCTAGTCTATTTGCTTTAGTTGCTGCCAAACCTCAATAGCCTTTCAAATCAGGATCCTTCCTTAGAGAAGTTTGCAGGAGGGCTTCAATTTCCATACACCAGATTAAATGCTTTTCCTTCTCACCTGTTTAGGCTAATGGCCTTCAGTGTTATGCAGAGTAAAGAAATTCTGTAGCCTCCATTCAGAAGAATCATTCTGCTTGAAAAAGAAAAGGCTAATTCCAGCGGAGTCATTAAATGAAAATGAGACACTTCAGAAAAATTCAAAAAAAAAGTTGAGTATTCTTGAGGAAACGCAAATTGTTTTGCTGTTTAGACCGAGATAAGCTCTTCAAAGCCTGTTCTCAAGCTGATTTAGTCTATGAAAATGATTTCTTATGTATGGAGGTTTTCCTATAACTTTACTTTGCTGTTGATAAATTTCTTTTTTATACTAAATATTTTTTGGTGGAAACTGTTTAGACCTATAACCTTAGAATACTGGCCTGACTTGGAGAAAAATGAACTTGAAAAGAATCCTGTGATATATGGAGCACACACCTTTACATATAAAAATTAAACTACTGGCCCATAATCAATATAGCTTGCCTCATGATAGATTATTCTCTGGGTAAATTTATAACAGGCACTCAACAAAAGTATTCATCGTTTATCCCCTAACATTATCTAGTAGCTGTAGAAGCTAGTAATCAAGTAAGTACGAAAAGAATCTTTAGAGGTGGAATGTAACTATATGCAGTAGCAGTAATTCTGCTCCATTTGTAAGCAGGGTGAAATGAAATATGGTCATGTATCCTCTTGGTACACAAGTTCCATAGGTTATTGAAAAACAAGTGTATACCCTCTTATATCTGCATTCCCTATTCTTGGAAGAGCTTATAAATCTTCTTTAGACACTTAACAGTTATAATTCTCCCAGGGAAACTAAGGGAGCACATGAGTCATGTTTCTTGACTTTGATGTTGTATAATCTGAAAATTATCTATAGATACTTTTTTATTTTTTTCATTGGTACTAGAAAATTCCGCTTAGGCTCAATCAGTATCCATTTCTAAACTTCTGCAAGAAAAGCTTTAACTCCTTTGACATGCCAAAAATCCAGGTGTGAATTAAACAACGAATGCTTGACTTCGTTTTCACCACTGGTTCTCCAGTCAGAATCTTTTCAATTCATCCTCAGCCAATGCCTGTCATCCACGGCCTGGCAACACACCCTTTCACCTCCTCATACCCCGTGTCTTCACTTTCCCAGTCCTTTGGCTGCCCTCGGGTTTCTTCCCTCACATACCTGTCTGACTAGTTCCCAGAAGCCTGCAGAGATTGTTCTCCTATTTTAATTTGGCTGCCACAAATAAAGAGCTTGGAGTCCAAATACTCCTCTCTCAAAGAAAAATCTAAATGGATATAATTTATAAGCAAAATAATACTTCTGTTTTTTTCTCTATAAACAAACCATGCATGGGCTTTTAAAGGAGAGAAAGAAGAGTGGATTGACAGAGAAAATAACTGTCTAGGATAGAGGTTAGGAAGACTGAGAGAGCAAGAGAAAAAGCATCAGTCCCAGTTGTTAATCCACGAGGCATCCCCCAGACCCTTCTGTAAAGGTTAATGAAGGCAGTAAGGCAGTTATCTTTGTTTTGTGCACTGATGCAATCCAAGCTTCCATGATTTAGCACATAGTAGGCGCTCTACAAATATTTATTGAATGCTGAACGATGAGCGAATAATTAAAAACCGGTAAGTTGGTACCATAAATACAATGACAAAGGCTCCCCGATCAAATGTTTAGTGTTCCCAGAAACAGCCCTATTGTTCTACATCTCTATACTCTGGCCTTTTCCCGTTTTTGTCATTCGAACTCATATACATATTTAAATCGAAGCACACACAAATCTCTGAAATGACAAACTTAAGTGCTATCCAAAGGAAGTTATATTAGGTTGCTGCTTTGAAAATGAACTCAACTCCTAATGGGTTAGCTGTTTCTGCAGCATTCGTTCCCGCCTTCTTGGAGTTGAGGTGAGGGATTAAACAATCAACCTTCTCCCTCCTTTCTCTCATTCTCAAAGTTTTTCTGGCCTTTTCTCTCCTTTCCTTTGCCTCATTTCCTTTCCCAGTCTATCGTTTCTCTAGGGGTCGTAGCTTTGCTGTTTCTCCTTCTCTGCCTCTTGGTCCCTTTGATCCTTTCTTTCTATCCCTTATTCCCAGCAGCTCCAGAAAATACCTTCTTTCTCCCCTTCTCACGTCACTTCCCTCCCTTCTCCCATCTCCCTCTCCTCTCCGAGAAGTGCGTTCCCCACTAGAGGCCAGCACTTTGTTAGTGTTCTCCCTCCAACCGGCGAGCAGAACTCGGAGAGAAAGAAGGGGGTAAAAAAGAGGAGAAAGAGAGCGAGAGAGGAAAAAACCCCGGGGCCTGGAGCGCAGAGGCCCGGGAGCTGCGTCGCCATGGCAACGGGCGCCGGCAGGAAACGAGGGACTCGCGGGCGGGAGGGGGCGGAGGGCGCCGAGGGGAGGCGGAGGGACGGGGGAGGGGTCCGGCTGCCCCGGAAGCACCTCCCCGCAGCCCCCTCCTCCAGCCCGGCCCGCAGCCCCCGGCCTGCGGCCCCCACCTCCTCGGCCGGGCAGGAAGTGACAGGCCCGGAGCGAGCCCCGGAGGCCTGGCTGAGCCGCTGCCGGGCCCGCACCCGGAGCGGCGGGAGGGGCGGGGAGCCGCGGCCGCGCCGGGCGCCTCCCACCCCGCCCTCGGCGCCCCCGCCCCTCCAGGAAGGGGAGGAGGCGAGGGGAGCCCGCCGCGGAGGCCGAGCGAGCCCCCAGCCCAGCCTGGCGACTGGGGACCCCGGCACATGAGGTGGACGCCCCCGGGGAGGACTTGGGTGCAGAGCCAGGCGAGAAGGTAACCGGGCGACCGAGGGCCGGGGAGGGGCAGGACCTTTGGGGGCTTGGCTGCGCGGGGATGTTTCCTCAGCCACCTCCATCTGTGTAACGCCCCAGGTACCTCCCCCAGTTGCTTTCCCTGCCTACCTCTGGCGCTGAGCTCTGCGGTCCTTCGGCTCTGCCTGTCCGAGTCTTCTGGCTATTCATTCTGCTGCGCTTCATGCTGTCTGTCCGTCACCCTAGCTGCCTCTGACTGCTCATTTTCTTATTCATTTTTCCTTCTCTGACTTTGGTCCTTCCAGCCGAGCATGCTGTCTAGTTATCTCCCTGCTTTCGTGGTCCGCTGGGTTCTTCAGCCTCCAGTTCGTTGACTTCTGCCTGTCTCCCTGCTATCTGTATGCACATGTCCCTGCTCACTTGGGCCAGTTCACTCTGGGCGCACCACTGGATCCACCCCCTTCCCCCGGTGTATTTGATTTCTCTTTGAAACATCATTTTCATCAAGGTTCTATATAGAACCAGGACCCCTGGGCGTCTACTCTCCCTGTTCTCTTGATTATTACCTTGTCTTTGGCACAGTCTTCCCTGAACCACCCCCTTCTCCCGTCCCCCCTCCTATGTCCCATCCTTTCTACATGATAAGAGTTTCGTGCTTAGGGATACTGACTTTCTCCAACTCTCGACCCAATACTAAGTCCACTTCAATGTCCCTTTCTAGCTCCCTTCGGTAGGTCTGTGCGCCTACCCAACCCCATGTATACCCCACATGCTACCTTTTAGGATGACCGTGGCTTAGCTACTTTGGGGACATCTGTGGATCAGCTTCTCACTCTCTTCCAGTTTAATTTTGAAAATTTTGATTCCTGGTGCTGCCGAAACTGCTTGTCTCCATTTTTTGTATTTAATCTTGTAGTCATAGTGTTGATCACAAATGAATACATTTATGTGCCTGGGATCCAGGAATCCTGGTTTTGGTGGCAATTTCCCTCGATTTTATTGAGACTTTTAAGTTGGTCCCTTTACATTTTTATTTCTAGTTCACAATCAAAATAAAATTGTTAATAAGAATTCAGTTTTGGGGAGACGAGGGGTGATACAGTTTGTGAGTATTTTCACATGTGAACGTAGGAATTATGGTCTCTATACCTAGCAAAGGGGTCTCAAGTCTCTGAGTCCAGTGAACTAAATCCAGTAATCTATAAAACTGTGCCGTGCTGCCTCTAATCCTTACCCACTTTTTTTCTTCACATGCTGATAATGAGGATTCATGGGTCTGTATCTGTTTAGTGCTTTGATATTTTGGCAAAAGATGTGGGGAGAAGGTAGACTAGTTGAAGCTGATGTGATTTTTCCTATGTACTTTTTGGGTTATATACATGTTTGCAGTGACATTTGCTAGTCCTAAATGAAACTAAAGATTTGGGGGTGGGATAATGGTGTGATCGGATGGTACTGGGAATGAGATAATAAGAAATATCCTCAGCTTTATTGCCAAGGCCAAGCAGTTTGATTTTATTTACTTTGCTTGTTTGTTTGTTTTGGATGCAATCGCTATGACCAATCCATTCACCCTAATAAAACTGTTGACAACACTTAGCAGAAATTCTGGTTTGATGTTTATATTCCTAAGCCAAATAATATTTTGGTGACCTGATATTGGCCCAGTGCCTCAGAAGTAGAGAAAATAGTGTGAAGCTTAACAAAAGAGAAAAACAAAAAGAATGAGTAAAAACCTTATTGTCATTTAGTGCTGCTTTGGAAGAATATTTCTTCTTCTCATCTCCTGTCTCTTTGCTTGGTTCTTAGCAATGTTTTCTTATGTGTCTTTTTGCAAATTTAAGTGTAGTCCCCAGTGGGTAAATTCTGAGGTTAGTAGACTACAAAGTTGCATCTTACTTTCTTGAAGATTTTCATTGTGTGTATTTCTATGTTGCATACCCCGGAGTCATGTCTTAAAATGATACATTACATTCAGTATGAAGCCGTCTTTGCAGTGAATTAACAGGTATAAGGAGGAAAAGCGACATGCCTGAGGTGTTATTAGTAGCCGGAGCTGGAACCAGGCAGCTATTTGGGCTATGTGGGCTGTAGGTGAGCTCTTCTGCCTCCTAGTATTATGACCTTTCATGACCCAACCCACTAAATGTGTCTGTATCTTAAGGTCCTCCTCCATAGAATGAGGATAACGAGTACTCACTATCATAGTGAATGACACTGCCTTAATCAGAGTTTGGTTTGAAGAAGCATGTGTTAGTCTAAAGACTTGATACTTACTAGGGCAACTTCTTTAATCTCAGAAAACCTTATTTCTTAAATTGTAAAATAAGGATAACAGTGTTAACAGCACTACTATGAGAGAGAGAGTATAGGTGAAGTGCCTAGCCCAGTGAAAGGAGGCAACCAGTGGCTCCCCAGTATATGGTGACTCATTTGGATGATAATGCGATGCAGATGGAGACGAAAATGAGACAGCCAAAAGTTTTAAGTGGGTAGATTTTAAACTGTTAAAAAATGCTATGGGAATGTAAGGTAGCTTTGGTATTGTAAGGTGCCATCTCACATTCTGGCCATTTTACTTAGTGACATCCATGAGGGAATATGTAAAGGCTGTTTATTTTGAGACTGCATAGCTTCAAAAGATGGTAATATTGGGAAGACATGGTTGCAAGAGTGTACTGAAGATTTGGGAGTTTTAAGATGAGAAATCGTGGCTTATGGAAGAGGAGGAAGATTCTCAGATACTTAGGGATTTCTTGTGTTCTTGAATAATAACATGAGATAACAGCTTGGGATCAAGATATAAGTTTTAACCTTTTACTGCTTCCATCTAGGTCTTGAGTCAGAGCACCAGCCTTGGGGACCCTGGACCGCTATCATGGAGACTGAGAGCGAGCAGAACTCCAACTCCACCAATGGGAGTTCCAGCTCAGGGGGCAGCTCTCGGCCCCAGATAGCTCAAATGTCACTGTATGAGCGACAAGCAGTGCAGGTGAGGCTCAGCTCTGAGGGGCCGTGGTCTGTGAGTCTTGGCTTGTGGTAGGCAGTGATGCTGGAAAATAATTGTGCTCAGTTCTTTTTCAACAAATTGGGGAGAGTTGGGTTAAATGATGACTAAGCTGTCTTCCAGCCCTGAGAATCTTAGGAGTTTACAAGGTTTGGGCAAGCAAACAGTGAAATCCGGTCTTTCAAATAAGGATTTAAAAAACAACATTCAGTCCATCTAGCTAGATTCTAACTAACCTTTTCTCATCCTGGATTGCCAGGTTTTTAATCTTTGGCCATTCTTGTAAATCCCCTTGAGTAATAGAAGTATCATGGAACTCTTTAGAGATTTATTTTTAAACAAACAGCAAATTCCATGTTTGTATTAATTCTGTTAGGGAATGAGGTCTTTTAGTAAATATTTTGGTTACTAGAATAACTATGCATATCATAAAAATAGTTCCAATTATTGAAGAATAAGAATTCAGTAAAGTCCAGTTAGCACTAAAACCAAACTACTGTTCATTTTATAAATCTGTATTAGCATACTGTAAATATGTAAAAATGCCAATTGGTTGAATTCGTTGAAAATTTTACCTGATGGAATCTTTTAGAAGCCACTATTTATTTTTTCATTATTTCCAACCCATTAGGGCTCTATAACCTTTACTCTCTATCTAAAATATACTTTTACATTTTCTCCTTTTCTTTCTTTTTTTTTTTTTCTTGAGACAGAGTCTAGCTCTGCTGCCCAAGTTGGAGTGCAGTGGTGCGATCAGGGCTCACTGCAGCCTCAGACTCCCAGTTCTCTCATCTTATCCTCCTGACTAGCTGGGACTATAGGCACATGCCACCATGCCCAGCTTTTTTTCTTGTTTTCTTTACATTAATCGGCATCTTGTTTATTTTCACCCTGTCTAGTCTTTGCTATGGCATGTATTTCCAGCTCCCAATTGGAGAAATAAGTTTGTGTAAATTGCACTGCTTTGCTTTTCTTACATTCTATGGAGAATAAACCATAGAATTACAGTCATGCGTCACTTAATGACAGGAATATGTTCTGAGAAATGTATTGTTAGGCAATTTTGTAATTGTGTGACTGTCATAGAGTGCACGTACACAAACCCAGATTATATAGCCTACTATACACCTAGGTTATATAGTATAGCCTATTGCTAGGTTATATAGTATAGCTCTTGTATATGTGGTCTGCCATTGACCAAATAGTGGTTATGTGGTGCATGACTGTGATTGTTTCTTCCAGTTTTTAAAGGACCATATAGACTTACTGAGGCAGAGGCAGAAGGATTTTTTTTTTTTTTTTTGAGATGGAGTTTTGCTCTTGTTGCCCAGGCCGGAGTGCAATGGCGCGATCTCAGCTCATTACAACTTCCGCCTCCCAGGTTCAAGCGATTCTTCTGCCTCAGCCTCCCTGGTAGTTGGGATTACAGTCGCCCGCCACCATGCTCAGCTAATTTTTTGTATTTTTAGTAGAGGCGGAGTTTTCACCATGTTGGCCAGGCTGGTCTTGAAACTCTTGACCTCAGGTGATCCGCCCTCCTAGGCCTCCCAAAATGCTGGGATTACAGGCATGAGCCACTGCGCCTGGCTCAGAAGGATCTCTTGAGGCCAGGAGTTCAAGACCAGCGTGGGTAACATAGCAACACCCCATCTCTAAAAATAAAAAAAATTAGCTAGACATGGCGGTGCATACCTGTAGTCCTAGCTACTTGGGAGGCTGAGGCGGTCAGGAGGATTGTTTGAACTAGGAGTTTGAGGTTACAGTAGACTATGATCACGCCATTGCGCTCCATCCTGGGTGATAGAGCAAGTTGACCTTGCTCTAAAAAAAATGAAGGAAAAGGCTGGGCGCGGTGGCTCATACCTATAATCTCAGCACTTTGGGAGGCTGAGGCAGGGGGATCACCTGAGGTCAGGAGTTCGAGACCAGCTTGACCCCACATGGAAAAACTCTGTCTCTACTAAAAATCCAAAATAAGCTGGGCACGGTGGCGCATGCCTGTAATCCCAGCTACTTGGGAGGCTGAGGCAGGAGAATCACTTGAACCTGGGAGGCGGAGGTTGCGGTGGTTGCGGTGGATTGCGCCGTTGCACTCCAGCCCTGGGCAACCAGCGAAACTCTGTCTCCAAAGAAAAAAAAGGAAAACAGCTGTTGAAGATTTAGCCCAAACTCCCATCTCCTCTGGTTTCTGTCCTTCCCATGGCCACACAAATATAGTGATTTACATAGA